GGAGGTCTGCTGCAGCATGTAGGTCACCTCCCTGGCCAAGGATTGAACTTTTGTTGCAGTGTCTGTGGATAGCTTGATAGTGCCATGCTTTAATCCCTTGAGCCACCAGGGAGGCCCTAATTTACTTTTTTTAGTATCCACAGGCTTTTGGGCCTTTGACATAATCCAATTTTGGAACATCTTTATCCATTTGTTAGCACTTCCATCCCACCTCTGTTACCTTAAACAACTGCGCATTTACTTTCTGATTTTATAGATTTACCTGTTGTGAACTTTTGATTAAAATGTAATCATACAATATATGTTCTTTTGTGATTATCTTCTTTCATTTAAGGTTTTTTCAAGGTCCATCTGTGTTAACAGCATGTATCAGTGTTTTATTTCTTTAATGTTAATAATGTTTCATTATATGGATGTTATATGGACTATTTTATTATATCACCAGGTCATTTGATTGTTTTCCTTTGGATTATCATGAATAAAGCTGCTGTAAACATGTATGAGATTTTGTGTTGTAAAATATTTTTATATATCTTGCTGTATGCTTAATTTTGTAATTGCTGTGTCACATGATCAATCTGTTCTAACTTTTCTGAGAAACTGTCAGATGGTTTTTCAAAGTGAACATGTAGTTTTGCATTCTCACCAGTAGTGTATAAATGTTTCAGCTTTTCATATCCTTTCCAACACATTTTATTGTCTGTTTTTTCTTTACGACTTGTATTTCCATAGTGCCTTTTGATTCCTTGTGGGTATGAAGTGGTATATTATTTTTATTTTGATTTGTAATTCCCTGATTATGCTAACAATTCAGTACCTTTTTACATGCTTATCGGCCATTTGTCTATCTTTGAAGAAATGTCTATTCAGATCCTTGTGTATTTTCCAAAAGTGCTTTAACACAGCAATGATTTATTATCTCACAGTTTCTGTGGGCCAGGAATGTAGGTGGTTTCGTGACTCTGTCTCTTACAAGGCTGCAGTAAAAATATCAGCTTCTGCCTTTGTCTCATTTAAATGCCCTAAGGAAGGATCCAATTCTACCTTCACTTGTGGTTATTTTCAGGATTCGGTCCTTTGTCGATTTTTGGACAGATGGTGGTAGTTTCTTGCACATTATTGCTCAGTTCCTTTTCATATAGACCTTCTCAGTGTAACTGACAACATAGCAGTTCACTTTTGGCTGTTAAGCAAGAAAGGACAAGATGGAAGCCAGAGAGTTTTTGTAACATAATATCAAAATTAGTTCTCTATTATATTCATTGAAAGCAAGTCACTAGGTCTAGCCAGTAATCAAAGAAAAGGATTATATAAAGACATGAATATCAGGAGTTGCCATTTAAAAAAGCTGCATAAAGTGGGTAGTTTAAACAGAAATTTATATCTTACAATTCTAGAAACCTATTTCTCACAGTTCTTGAGAAGTCTAAGATCAGGGGACCCACTTGGTGAGCTGTTACAAGTGAGGGCCTTTTCCTGGTTTGCAGACACAGACTTCTTGCTGTGTCTTCAAATGGATGAGAGAGTGAACTCTAGTTATTTTCTTTTATTAAGATTTATTTATTTGTGCATACAGAGCTGGGGTACTGGCCAGAGGTGCAGGGGCAGTGAGAGGATTCATCAGAGACAGATTGGGGAGCAGAACAGGCAGATGGACTGGAATACACTGCTGAAGGGAGTAGTGGGCGGGTCAGGAGAGGACTGCCACACCATGTGGATCAGCTCCCTGGCCTGGGATCAAACTTGGTACTGCAGTGGCTTTGGAGAGCTTCATAAGTGCTGCTCTTTAATCCGTTGTGGCACCAAGGAGGACCCTACTTTCTCTATTTAAAGAAACACTGATCCCATCACGGGTATACTACCCTCATGACTTCATCTAAACCTAGTTTTTATCAGCCCTTAGTACAGACTGAAAATGCACACCAGCTTTCTCCTTCTGTACTAAACATGTATAGATTTTTTTTCCTTCTTGCCTTTATTCTAAAAAAAATACATTGTAACAACTAAATAATGTTTACTTGTTTTAGGTACATAACTGTTCTAAGGAGGATTTAAAATGTACAGGATGATGTGTGTAGATTATTCCACACCATGTTATTTGAAATTTGAGTATCTGTGGATTTTAGTAGTCTCTGGAATCCTATACCCAGTAACCTGGGGATACTGAGGGACAGCTTCGCCCTGAAGTCTTCAGCTTATAATGTCCATGTGGAATAAAGATTTCAGCAATAAGAATTTTGAGAGTTGCACAAATACACAGTTTATAACAACTACTTTCTTCAATGTATTTTTGTCCATATTTTAGTTGTGATATTTGACCTTTTGTTATTGGCTTGCACAATTTCTAATATACTGACAAAAAGCCCATTTTAACATGTATACTTTGCAAGTCTCTCCTCCCATTCTGTGAGTTGTATCTTTGTTTTCTTGACTCTATGATATAAAAACAAAATAAAAAATTAATGTATTGATTTATTTCTCTTATTGATTTTGCTTTAGGTGCTAATCACATAGTTTACTTCTGTTTTCTTCTGATAGTTTTCTAGCTTTATTTCTTAATTTAGTTCTGTACTCCATTTTGAATTAATTTTTGTGTATGGTATCAGTGAATGGTCCAATTTCATGTCTTTGCAACAACAGATGGTGCTGGGATCACTGGGTGGTTATTTTCTATTTATTCAGGTCTTTAATATCTGTTAGCAGTATTTTGTAGTCATCAATATCTAAGTTTTATACTTTTTTGGTAAATTTATGCCTTTTTTATTCTTATCCTATTGTAAATGTTGTCTTTATTCATTGCAAGTATACAGATATATTACTGGCTTTTTGTGCATTGCTCCTGCAGTCTGCTGATTTCTTCTTTATAGCTTCTAATGATTTCTTTAGTAGGTACCTAATAGTTTTTCTTTTTTTGAATTTTATATATATATATATATATACATATACATATACACACAAAATCATGTCATCTGCAATAATAGTTTTACTATTTTCTTTTCAATCTTTATGTCTTTTATTTCATTTTCTTGCCTGTTTGCCTGACTAGAACCGTTAGTCCATACAGTAATGAAGAGCAGTAATGAGAGTGAGCATCCTTATCTTATTCCTGACTTTAGAAAAACACATAGTCTTTCGCCATTAAGTTTGATGTTAGCCACATAGATTCACTAGATGCCCTTTATTAAGTTGGGATAATTTCCTTCTATTCCTAGTTTGTTGAGAGTTTCTATGATAGGTTTTTGGATCTTGTCAAATTTTTTTTTTTGGGGTCTGTTGAGATAATGTCAGTTTTTGTTTCCTGTTAATATGCTGCATTACTTTGATTGACTTTTAAAGTATTAAATAAACCTTACATTTCTGGCATAAATCCTACATGTTTATGGTGCGTGATCTGTTTTATATCTTGTTCAGGATCAGCCACAGGTGAGTGTTTATGGGCTTCTCAGGTCTTTTGTGAGCTTGAGCATAGCCCCGTCTGTATGTGTGATCTCTTTACATTCATGGACATATTTATGTATTCGTTTGTTTATTTATTTATTTATATTTTTATCATTGTTCATTTTTAAACAGTGTTTACTTTTTTCAGGTGTAGTCTCCATAGAATTTCCATCAGCAGTTCACCACAGTCCCCTGTGTTCCTCCCTCCCTTTTCCAACCCCTCTCCCTCTGCCTACCCCTCCTCTGCAGGATGTTTCTGGTTTAGAATTTCTATTTGTTTTTGTTTTGTACTGTTACTTTTTTCATATGTGGGAATTTTTAAAAGCACATATAGACTGCTCATTTCTCAGCTTTCCTTCTGAAGTATTTTGGTTCCCCTCCTATTTGTTATTGACTCCTCAGGAAGCATGATGCTAAATAATTAACACTGATTATTTTTTACAAATACCAGAGGTAGGGGTGGACTGTGGGTGGAGGTGGTAGAATAGCCATACTGAGGTAGTGCAGAGAACACTTCAGTTGATGGCAGTTTCTTAGAAATGAGGCTGTGGAGCCCTCGCTGGTGGTGCAATGGGTTAGGACGCAGCACTGCAAGCTAGTCGCAGCTGATTTAGTGCAAGTTGGATCCCTAGCGCTGCAGATGATCCACATGGTGCAGCAGACCTCTCCTGTCTCACTCACTGCTCCCTTTAACAGTGTACTTCATTGATCTGCCTGTTCTGCTCCCCACTCTGTTTCTGGTGAATCCTCTTACTGCCCCTGCACCTCTGGCCTGTACCCCACTTCTGTATTTCTGTATACATAAATAAATTGATCTTTAAAAATGACGCTTTGAGGGAGCTTTAACTATGTTGTCAAGTCTTTCACAGTGGAAGATTTAGTGTTTACTGATTAGAACACAATGGAAAAGAACAATTTGGAAATGGAGATTAGACTAAAATTATTTATTAATTAAAAAATTATACATATAAGAACTGGATGTAGGGCAGAAGTGGGGGGTGGTAAGAAGATTCACCAGAGATGAGTAGGGAGAGAACAGGCAAATGTACTGAAACACTGCTGAGGGGAGCAGCGGGCGAGATAGAAAAGGTCTGCTGACCATGTAGGTCAGCTCCCTGGCCTGCTGGGGTTCAAACTTGTGCTATAATGGCTAGTAACAGCTTGATTGCTCTGTTTTTAACCCCTGTGCTTAAAAAGATTATTTATGCATACAAGAGCTGGGGTACAGGTGGAGGTGTAGGGGCAGTGGTGAGAAGATTTACCAGAGACAGAGTAGGAAGCAGAACAGGAAGATTGACTGACTATACACTGCTAAGGGGAGCAACGGGGAGACAGCAGAGGTCTGCTGTGCCATGTGGGTTTACTGGTTACTTCTTGGCCAGGGATCGAACTTGTGCCCCCATGGCTACAGGTTACTTCATAGTGCTGAGACTAAACCCCTTGCGTCACCAGGGAGCCCCCAGCCTATGAATTTTTAAGAATATTTCTTATTAAATGTTTAATAAATTGTGCCATATTATATTGAACTTAGTAGTTAATTTTATTTTTTTTCCCCATTTCAGGTTGATGCACGGAGCATACCAGTCTTAGCAAAATGGCAAAATTCATATAGCATTAAAGTTGTACTTCAAGAGCTAAGACGTCTAATGATGTCCAAAGAAAATATGAAGCTTCCACAGCCACCAGAAGGACAAACATACAATAATTAATTTTAGTGGATCTTAAACTTGTCTTAAATCAACAACCTTCTACTCATGTTAATGTCTTGATTAAATATCACAATACAAAATACCCACACATTAAGTAAAAGAATCCCAGCTGATAAACATGACCTGGACATTTTTAAGAATATAATTAATATATGTACACCCATTATGTTTTCAGGTAACAGGAGGAAAAATGCAGCACAATTTTTTTTTCTCTTGTTAAGGCTCTGTCATTGAAACATAAACCTAGAGTACTCAAAATTGAATTCAGGTTTATAAGATGAAAGCATGACTAGAAGTATCGGATGGCTTTGGAAGCATGTGTATTTCTGAAAAGTGAAAAATCGCAAGAAGGAAAAGCTAATTAGCATGCTTTGTCCATCTTGTTTAGAAAAAGAGATGCTGTTTAAATTGTCTAAAGTAGCAGGTACAATGAATATTGTCACAAATTGTATTAATTTTTGAAGCGGTGTGGGTGCTGACTACTAGTAGTATCAAAAATATGTTCAGGATTGTTTTGATACTTGTATTTATAATAAAAAAAAATGTCGTGGGGAGAGGTCGATGAATTTCTGTTAAAAGCCGTTCCTGTGTGTTACATGTAACAGACATGGTAAATATTTGTTTACAGTTTTTGTTTGACAAACCATGCATTTAAGTTTAAGTGAAATCAACAAAAAGGAAATAGGTATATGGATATGTGATTTTTGAGATTAAAGTTAGTCATAAAATGTAAATAAAATGTGGAATGTGTCCTCAGAAACTGTGCCATTTCTATTATATTAATGTATATGTAACAGTATCTTCTTGAGGTAGCAAAAATTGGGATTATGATAGCTTTTCATATAACACATCATTTATCAGTTAACCTACTGTGAATACCTGGAAATAGCAGAGTATTTCATAGAATAAATACTTAGTTAGTTTATTCTTTGGAGAAAGAGGGCTTCACAGGCTTTACACATTAAATTTTACTTCCTTAAGTATATTGTGAAAAAGGTGTTTGAATTCAAGCAATTCTTAAAGAATTATATTTTGATCAAAATATACATTACGTTTTTTTCTTCATAACAGCTTTCTCTTTGTTTTTCTATGGCAGTTTTCATCTCTTAATATTATCTGGGATTATGATACCCATTGCACTATCCTCCACTTTGGCATATATTTAATACTGAGTTGAAAGTTGCATTTGTTCTGCTTTTACCAAATGACTTCAGACTTTGGGTCACTTTCTTATTTCAAAGCACTGGGTATGCTACTTTACTGAAAGTATTCCTCTTGTGAATTCACTGAAGAAAATAGAAAGGTGGTAGGTAAGAAGGACAAATTTCTCAAACATGCCCTGGCATGTTTTTGTCAAATTTATTCAGAGTTAAAGCTTTGAACTATCTTTTCTTGGTTACTAATACATTAAGTCAGTCAGTAATGATTTGTCTACATTTATTAATTTCATGGATATTCTAACTATCAAAGATTTTACAAAAATATGTAGAAAATATATACATACAAATTAGTGCATGTGTAAGTTATGAAAATAGGCTTAAGTAAATTACCCTGGAATACATTCTTAACAATTTTTAATGGTCGAAACTTATATTGGATTACATTGGTGTCATACATATTTGGTGGTTACTGATATTCTGAAGCAGTCTCTAATAATTCCTTTCCACTTTGAAAACATGCCATACATAGACACTAGCTAGCCAATTATGAATGCTGTTGAATTATTTTTACATATCGGTAGATTGAGAGTCTGGTACCTTGATCTCCTGTCATCCTTATCCATTATTGTGAAGGATTTTTCCCTTCAAATATATGTTGTTTGAATTCAACCCATAATGTTTATTTCCCTTTGGTTTTTGGGATTATGGATCTCTGCAGAAATCTGCATGCCAACTAGCCAGTTTCCAAAGCAGAATCCATTTTGCATGTTACAATCAAATGTACCTGGTGATTAAGACACACTGGTTGGTTATAGGAATTAATAAAGAGCCGCTTTTAATTATAATAACATTTCTAAGCAGTTTTGAAGCAATTTTTTCCCTTTTGTCTTTTTTTAAGTGGCTAAGTTGTGAAAGTATGTGGTATTAACTTAAAGGAACTGCATAATTGCCTTCAAAATTTATTTAAAAGCCTAGCAGGTGAGGCCTTTACAGGATAATCATATATTAATAAGGATTACAAAAATAAATCCTTGTCCTACTAGGTTAGTGGTGTGTTTTAGGGGTTTTAATTATATATTGGAGAATTGCTAAGTTTTAAGTATTTTTGTCTAATATTTTAAAGAAGTGGAATTTGTTTTTATAGGTTTATTTATAGGATTTTGGAAGATAAACATTTTTAAGATGTTGGTATGTAAAACAAAAAAATTAAATTATTCTTTTAAATGAATTTATCACACTTAAGATTTGAGTAAGTGCTTAGATAATACATTAGTTCACTTGCATATAGTTTCTTAGTCTAGAATACTTAGTACCAATTCAATAATGTAAATATTTCCTACTACACATTATTATTGATAAGTGCATATGAAATTCATATTGCTTTAGAAATCTAGAGGACACTGGTGGAGAATACTAATCCATTTTCCTTAATAAATTTGGTGTCGATGGATTTGGGTAGTTCTGATGAGTACATCATGGAATTACAGACTTTGCTTAAAACTATGATCATTCTGAAAAGCACATGACTTTGTTCTTACATACATTTTATGGTGCACTAATGGTGAAGTTTAATATCAGTAATAGGATTTTGGGAGGTATTTAAAGTTTTTTTTCCGATTTCCTTTTATATATATATTTTAGATATGTAGAATTTTAATATCATTGATTGCTGGGAAAAGTCTAAAAGGTATTGGTTTTATTTTTCTGCTAAATGCCAATACATTTTTTTCAGTACTGATTTGATTGACTTGGTTATTTTCATGAAGAGATTTCAACTGTCAGGATTCTGAAAGTGTATATATTTTGTATGTAAAAATGGAAACTTGAAAAAGAATGGCTGTAATATTTCACAAAACTGATGGGAACTTTTAGCAGTTCACTCCCACCCAGTACTGCGTTTTATTAAAGGGCAGGAAGTGCTTGGAAAGAGACTATCTTTCATGCAAAAATTTATCAGGACTCAGAAGACGCTAGAGTAGATGGAATTTTACAGTTCTCACTGTTGCTTATTTAAAAAGTTGTGTGGAGTATTGAAAATACACAGCAATAGATGCACTATATGCATTTTTGAAGAAAAGAAATAACAAAGGTAATTGATACAGAAAATGGCAAGTCAGACATTTTGTGGAATAAGGGAATTTGGGGAACTGACAGTATATGATAAAAGGTCATTGGTTATCAAGTGCCAGTGGTGGTGTTTAAGTCTTTATGATATGCTCAACTATGAAAATTGCTGAGTCTGCTCCATCTCATGTTTACATGTAATCAATAATACCAACTCAAGATTTTCTTTCAAGTTCACTTATGAAATCAGCAATAAAACCCAGAACTTAGTTTCTTAATTTAGAGAGATGCCAGGAATCACCCTGTCTCAAGTTAAAATTGACCAAAAGCCATGCGAGTATTATGTAGTATCCATTTTCTGATCTAGATATAGGTAGATGTAGGTGAATTCGTTTATCTTTTCCTTGTTTAATGATGAGCAACCACCTTAAACTTACTTGTGTGCTATGGCAGCCAAAAGATTAAATAAAAGCACAGTTAACATTTGACTTTCAAAGGAAAACTAGTAGTTGGCACTAAGTAACCAATGGTAAGGGGAAACCTATGGTTATAAAGAAGGAAATGATTGAATTATCGGATAGTAAAAACTTTTAAGTATTCATTTTTAGGAGTGGAGTAACTTTCAAAAATGTTCAGACACTGGGAAGCGCTGTTAACCAGTAAGTTTATATTCCTCTAATCGCACACACAGAACCCAAAGCACACACCTTTAATACTATGTAGCTCTGTAAAGTAACCAGCAAGATTCCTGTTACATTGTAAGATGATATTTTAATAGAACATTCTCATTAAAATTTAGTAAAGTTGGTTATAAAACTTACCTTTTCATAGTGAACAAGCACACTAGTTGTGCTTTTTTATATGAAGATGGGATTTTAATAGCCTATATAGTTTAGGTGGAAAACGACTTCCTTGATAGTTGATAACTGACCCAAGAGGATTGTATTGTTTTATTCTTTCAGAGTACGTAAGTAATGATGGCCAAATGTTCAGATTATACCCATTATTAAATTGTCTATTGTGATTATTTTAAAAAATTCTGCTAATTTGGTTGTACAAAGTGGGTATAAAACTTAAGACTCAAGTGAAAATAATTGATTTCACAAGAAAAGTAAAATATGTACTTGCCTGGGTTTCACAATTTTGAATAATGTATGGATTTTTTAAAGAAAAAAGTAACTTTATGGACTCAAGTTTTACCTTGAATTATATTTGTTGAAGTATTGTTTAATGTGTAAAACATACAAATTTAATTTTATGGTCTTAGTCCTTACAAAACGATAAAGTAAATTATATAACTACATAGTTCTTAAAAGGTAAAATAGTATTGAGGATACTTTATTGAGTTAATTTTTGCTTGAAAGGTAAATACTTTCTTGGCTCTTTTATTGCTGTGTGTCTGATGTGCTGCTGAATGTCAAATTTTCTTACCTTCTTGTGGTATAAATACAGTTAATAAGTTCACCTTTAGACTTTTCTCTTAGCCAGAGACAGTTCTTGCAGTTAAAAGTGATCCCTCTCTCACTGTTGACTGCCCTGTACACTGCACCCCAGCTCGTCTGTAAGTATATGGTCACCTCTTTTTATGACCAGTTCTGTTCACCTAACTTTTTTACCACTTGGATTTGCTGATCTTTTTCTCAACCTTGTCCAACCACACTGTCTTTGTATTTAATACTTTTGTCTTCCTTCTGAGGGTTGATGTCCAAGCATCCAGATTCAGTGGTAGTGTAACTGTCACAGTTGTACAGTTATAGTGTATTTAATTTTTTAATTCTTAGAATTTAGGAAGCATTTCTCCAAATATTTTTGCAATTAATGAAAAAATTGGATGTTTTCTTAAATTTGAGATAATTTTAAATTGTTAAAAAATACCACTTTTGGAGACCAATGTATTTGGCTATAAATGGTGTTAGTGTACATTATTTGGACTAAAAATTACTGAAATGACTGCCAGAATCTTGGTAAACTTTCTATGGGATGAAAGTTTTACTGAGTTCTGCTTACTGTCATCAGGTGTTCCCTGTGATAAGCCCTTGTGTAATGCTGCTTATTTAGTATATTAATATAAATGATAAAAGTTGAAGTTAAGTATAAATTATGGCCAAATCTTGATTATCAAGATGAAATCAAGTCAGCAGGTGCCTAATCTGGCACCTCTCCTTACTGACAGAGCCTAAGTGCTTGTTAGCATTGAGGTTCTAAGTTGAAGTGGATAATAATAATGATAAATGAGGAGCAGTAAATGGGAAGCTAGTGCAAATCTTTGGGCAAATACTATTTTTCCTTATGCACTAAAAGTTGCTAGTTAGCCTTTAACTGTTGTTTTTTCTGTGGAGACCATGTTTATTACCTTCATAGAGCTGTGGTTTCTTGAGATAATAGTTTAAACCATATTTGATACTGAGACATCAACAACTGAATATTTAAAAATAAACTAGGAACATTCATTCAGTCTTACGGTAAAATAGACATTTGCATCGTCTACTGTGTAGTGTGGACTGGTTTTAAAAGGGACTTCAAATGCTCTAGGCTACTTAATTTATCCTCATGGTTGAAGGTAATAAAGTCTTCTGAATGTTAGTAAATCCTTACAGACTTGGCACTCCTGACACTGCCAGGAAGTCCCTTCTCCATGTCCTATGTATAATGCTCCTGGCAGAAGCTCTTCTGGATGGGGCACAGTTGTTTTGCCACCAGCAGCAAGTCTTAGGATGAAGTCTGTTGGAGAAAGACAACTTAGTGTGAAACAGCTCGACAAACTTGGGCTGAAAAGCCCACCAATCACATTACATATGCAACCTACATACAGTAAATTTATGTGATGTTAGCAAA